AAAAAGTTAAAACTAACTACAAATACCAAAAATAATTTGCTTTTAAAGTCAATGCTAGGAAACAGTGTATCAAAGAATAAAAAATACATTTCTTTAATTGTGGAAGTCCATTTAACTTTTACTAAATAATTTCAATGTAATCTTGAGTGTAAAGATAGTTTAAGAACATCCACTATTCCAAGTCGTACCATGAGTGTCGATAAGAGGCGACAGAGGGAAACGGAACAGGAGATACGCCGCAGTAAGTATCTTCCTTAAAACAGCTCAAAATAATAAACATGCCCATCAAGCGTGGCAACTATGGCAAAATTCTCCTAGTGAGGTAATCTTTGGTCAGCCTGTGTTCATCAGTGGATTTTTAAAGGCTGTTGTGAATGAATCCTTTTGAGTGCAAAAGGAATATCACAAGTTCAAATTAACAACTAGAATATCGTCATAATAGTTATAAGTATTAAAAATTTTGATAGATAGATATCGTCGTAATAGTTATAAGTATTAAAAATTTCATACCCTATTTTTCACCCTCAGGGTTTTTTTTTAATTTATATGGGGCTAGCCCTGAAGTACTAATCTATTTAATAAAAAATAATTATTAAAAATGAGGAAGAGAGAAATTTTAAAATTGAGGCAAATAGGCGAACGTTCACAAAAACATACGAATACATGTTGAATATAGTTACTTCTCGTTTTTGGAACTCTGTTAAAAATTAGGAAATCTGCTTCAATGTACTATAATGGATTTTATATTATATTAGTTTCTATATACTAAGTTGGATTTTTAAAGAATATAATTTTAATTTTAATATTGATGTAATTTTAATTATAATTTTGACTTTCTGAAAGTGGTAATATGTACGCATCGACGGCGTCGCACTGTATTTATGGCTATTGTAATTATGAATGATAAAAATATACTACAATATACACTAACGATAACAAAGTACAACATAACATTGAGGTGAAACCTTGTAATTACGGCTTGATATTTTGAATAAAATGGTTAATGAAACCTGAAAACTATTTAAGGCCCTTCCAATATTATACCCCTGTTTGTAATATTTTTATTTCAAAAACTAAAATGTATATGATACGAATACCCTTATTTTTTTTTAAACAAATTCGATCATGAACAATACTAAGAACTGTTGAAGTTATGATGCTTTAAAACACTAGAACAGAAGCTCACAGGAGTAATCTAAAAATAAAATAACGAACGAGTATAATTTGAGAGCAAATCTTAAGATTTCTTGCATTTCAAAAGTAAAATAGATGTCAAAAAGTCCTTGAACTCCAGAAAATCCTAATACACTAGGAAACTCTATACGAATTTATACGTTACACAACGTTGTGGACATGCGTATTGGCCGCATATTCGGCCCGAAGCGTGAATTTCCTTTGCTACAAATAATAATTCAAGCAAATACAAACTCTATTCCTTTATACAAAAGTCCTAAAATAAATTACTATGAGAATTGAGCAAGCGCTTTATGTTGGGCGGAGGCATTGAATTGAGGGTGAATCAGTTGAAAACTCGTCGCGTAAGGGGTAGTGTCGCTTTAAAACCCCACTTTCTTTAAATCATTGAAGAAAACCATCGGTGACCACGTTGTAATCCATCCATGGGAACTATTAACATAAGATAACAATGTTTATTAAGAATTCTTAGTCATTGTAGTATTATTCGCAAGCAAATGTTGTTTTACTCCGATTACTAATGTGACATTGGAAAAAAATGTGTTTGTTACTAACATTTCATCATCTAACGTTTAAAAGAACGAATCTAAATATGAGGTTCAACTTATTTTCTTAACTTAATTAATTCAGCATATTGCCTATAAATTAAAATATTTTATGTAGGAAAATCACTTAAATATATATGAGTATATATTATGTATTTAAGTAAGGTAAACACATAATATGCGAAGACTGCGAAAATATTTTTCGTCTATATTCATTTATGTGTAGAAATACTTTTTTATAATAACAATTTAATTGTTCGTATATTTGTAGTTGCTAGAAGCTTATACTAAATATTTTTTTTTTTAAATTTAAAGAATGATTATGAACACCACTATTTACAGTTTTGTTGCAATTGGAAGAGATTTAATAGAAAATAGTAAATGAGCTTTAGTTAACACATATTTTATTTAATAGAATTTTGTGGGAAACTGAAAACGCAAATATTTCGCTTTTGCAGAGTTTCATTTACATAAGAAAAGACAACAAAAATACATTGCTATGAACCAAAAATTACTTTCTTTAACATTAGGTATACATTAATTGCATTACCCAAGAAAGAAGATTAGATTTATTATTAGAAGATTTATATTGTCTAAGTAACGTATGTTGATTCTTGCGTAAACAATTATAAAATCAAAAAACCTACTTTATTATATAAATAGAATTTTAGTCCTTTAAATTGTGAAAATAATCGGATTCGAATCCCGCACGAAACTAGTATTTGAATGAAACTTCTCCACTACACCGGAAAAAAATATTAGCGTGAGAGTAAACTATGAACTAAAAACTTCATCTGCCATAATAATAGATAATTTACTTAAAATATATGTTTCTGATTTTATAACTAAACATAAAATAAACAAATAATGCAAAACTATCATGTTAAACTGACTTTGAAAATATAAGAAACGTTATTACACCACATACTATAACTCACACATTAGTATATAATATTTTAACTACTTATATTTATTGATGCTACAAACCGTGTAAACAATTTTCATAACGGATACAACGGGAAAACGCGACTGCATATTGGTTAATTTTATAAGAATACGTCCATCGACCCAGCGTAACTGACGCCGGCTAGTCTACTGTAATCTTAGAATGCCATAAAAAGAATAGTGGTACCTAGCAAACGCGTAAATAGGTATACAGCGAAAGAATATTCGTACGTCCAATTTTATCGTTTATTCCATATTATTTTTTGTGACAAAATTATTATCTACATATTGCTAAAGGCTTTTACAAAAAAAAAACTATCATTTGAGACGTGAGACGTTTATACACACCTCAACAACACCCCTCTGCTTTCGTCGGGGGTAAAAAATACGCATACTTACGACAGCTATAGCATTCGAAATAAATTTGTAACCTTCATGTCTGCCTTGCTCTTACAAGAAAAAATATTTACTATTTCGTAAATACTCATTTTTAGGGCTATGTTGTAGAAGTAACTCCTTTGTGTCCTGGCCCGACTGTCCCAATGTAGGTATATAATTACTTTAAGACTTGGACAAACTTCCACTTAAAATTATTGGAAGTATTTTCGTACAATTGCGTTCTAAATTTTAATGTGAGAAAGTAAAATTGCCAGTATATACCTAATTTTTCAAAATCCCAAGCTTGCCAGGATCCCAGCTTCTCCTTTTTGTATTTTTCAACTAAAACTCTGGAAAACTTTTGAAGAAAACCTTACGTTCATTAAAAATTACGAAAACTGTAACATTAAACTTCACAACCTTAACTAGCTATAAGTCTATCGTTCGCTAATTGCATCACAAGCTTGGGATTATTTTTGTAACAATTTAATTCAACTGCAAAAAATAAAAATAAATATATTTCAGCAACACATTTAAGAATACGTTTATTTTATTGTATTTTTACCACGTAAACTAATATTACAGTTACTGTTTACGCCTAAAAGATAACTACAGAAGACATTGGTTAAGCAATAAAAAATACATAATTTACCTGTGCTACATAGTTACAATATCAAATTAAAATTTATAGATAACCGATTACGGTGAAGTGCGACACAAACAGTAGATTCATGCACCATTTACTTCAAAACCTGAACTTAAACATGTACTGCAGGACGTACTGCCAACGTAGTTGTTTGTCTAGTTGATGCAGTAAAACAAGACACTGTCGATGATAGTCTGCTTCATTGCTGACCTCACGTCATATCAGGTATGTACAGAAAACTACTTTCACTTTTGTAAGAAAAAGAATTTTGAAAGATATATATTATATGTATGCCACAACTTTAAACCGCCATTGCTGGTCACATGCCTCCTCTCATTTCTGAGAGAGTTTTAGGGCAAGTAAATGTCCGCTGCACTGCCCCAATACGCCTTGAATATAGGCTGAGAATATTTGCAATGTTTTCCTTATTATATTTTCTAGAAATATCTTTCAAAGTACTTCACTAAAGCTGAATAAGCTGTGAAATATATTTAATAACAAAAATGATTTAATTCGCGCTATGTGGGTTGTCATGATGTATAAATCCTTGTGCCAACACGTTGAAGTAGAACCGTTAAAAATAGGTTACATTTTATATTTAAAAAACATTACTCATTTAATGAAATATTAAAAACATTTAAAGTGTTTTATAATAATAATAATAATAATAATAATAAGGCGTAGGGAAGTGACGACCCCATCGCCCGCTGACGAAACAGTTAAGTGACAAAACTGCTACGTCGGTGCAGTCAGTCAGCGCCTTGCCAAGAGGTGTGAGCGCCGTGCCTCGGCAGTACTCAGGGTGCAAAGGCCCGTTTGTGCTTACGGCCGTACAATGATACAATAAAACGGTGCCGGGCCTGGGCGTCTCCCGCTAATTGGCGCCCAAAAATGGATGATGGATAAGATTGGAAAACGTATAGGGCCGCTGCCTGGGGGTCGCCGGGGCGCGTCTGGAGCTGGCGCTGGACGCGGCAGCATGCGGGCCGCCAGCCGAGCGCGAGGAGCTGCAAGATCACCTAACAGCCCCCCGCATCCATCATCCCCACCAGACGGCTTGATGTCGGCAGGGTCCTCTCGGACTCGGCAAGCGGCATCCGCCGCTGGTGGAGTGCGCCGCATGCGTTGGACAAGGGATATGAACGCAAACGCAATGCGGGCGTACTATAGGGCGAAAGGGGAAGAAACTGCGGGGATAGCGTATCGGGCTCCGGATGCATTGCTTTTTTGCTGAGCTGGAGCCGTCTATTCCCGTCACGGAACAAAACCTGGCAGACCGAGTTCGGTACATCATGCGCTCGAAAATATTCGATGATGCCGAGCTCGAACGACTACGACGTGAGGCCATTCCCTCATCGAATGAATTGGCTACGGCTGGGGATGAGGCTCCTCAGGCGACAGACCAGCTGCCACGCGTAGAAGCCGCCATGGATCTTCCAGTTGTGGGTGATTCAGACGATGATGAAATGGTCTCCCACGAACTAGAGCAAATGAGGAGTATATTGGAAGAGGCGATTTTAGAAACTCGCAGCATGCCTCTCGAAAATCGACCGCGAATTCCCCGCATACCCCTAAGCAAGCGAAATCGGGCTGTCGTGAGGGCTTTTAACCCAATGCTGGTAACCTATTTGGAAGCCAGCCGGGACCTTTGCGAGACGGACTCAGTTCTTTTTGGCGCCGCAGTGGCAGCTTGCCGTATTATTGGCGCCAAACTTCCCATGGCTGGACGCGCTACTAAACAAAGTAGCGCCATCCCAGCCTGGAGAAAAAGAATTGAGGACCGTATCGCAAAGGCAAGGGCCCTTATCGGCAGACTGATAAGCTTCAGGTCGGGTAATAATAGACCGAGGGTTGTGCGCACCGTTAGAATGGCGTTTGCTGGGACAAATATCAGTTTGTCCCAGCCGGATATCACGCAGAAACTAACGGAGCGCATAGACGACCTGAAGCAAAAGATTGCCGCTTGGGGGAAGCGGATTCGCCGATTTACCGAGAGGTCAAGGCGGTTCAACCAGAATCGTCTCTTCCAGAGTGATCAGAAGAGGCTCTACAAATCATTGGAGCGACCAGAGGTATGTGGAGCGGGCCCAGGACCGGATCAGGCTAACACTGTCGCATTTTGGCGTGGCCTGTGGTCAGAGCCCGTAAACCACAGCGAGGGCCCTTGGACGGAAGTTGTGGCGAGTCAGTGTGCGAGTATTACGCCCATGGACCCCGTCATCATAACGCCGGATGACGTAGCTGAGGCGGTCCGTAGAGCCCCGAACTGGAAAAGTCCGGGACTCGACGGACTGCATCACTACTGGCTGAAGGGGTTCATGGTGTGTCACGCTGTGCTCGCCCGTCAGTTTCAAGAGGCTCTCAACCAGAAGTCGCTCCCAAGCCTCTTCACTACTGGGATCACTCATTTGGTTCCTAAAGACCAGGTTACCACAGACCCGAGCAAATACCGCCCCATTACGTGTCTACCCACCATATATAAGACACTGACATCCATTTTGAGCGCGAGAATCACTCGTCACCTGGAGCTAAATCAGGTGATGTCACGCGCTCAAAATGGATGTCGGGGGCGGTGGTCGTGGAACTAAGGAACCACTCCTCATTGACGCGGTCATTGGCAAAGTGGTGAAACGCAACCGTCGGAACTTCTCCGCCGCCTGGATAGACTACAGAAAGGCATTCGACTCGGTGCCCCATACATGGCTAAAGAGAGTCCTCGAGCTGTACAAGATAGACTGTACAGTGAGAGACTTCCTCGAGCAGTGTATGGGGCAGTGGAGTACGATCCTTTGTCATCTGGGTGAGCGGATGATGGCTGCGGAGAACCACATAAGGATAAGAAGGGGTATCTTCCAGGGCGATTGTCTGAGTCCAATCTGGTTCTGCCTCTCCCTGAACCCTCTCAGTACCTTACTGGAGGAATCCGGGAGAGGATTTCAGCTACGGAAAGGAGGGACAAAAGTGACCCACCTTTTTCTATATGGATGACCTTAAGTTATTCGCCTTCAGTCGCTCCCATCTTGTGGAATTGCTAAAAATCACTTGTGAGTTTAGCAGTTCCATTGGAATGGAGCTGGGGACGGATAAGTGTGCGGTCCTCCATGTTGAGAGGGGAAGGGTTGCTAACTCTGAGGGCATAGATTTATCTATGCCCGTCAACTTAAGGACCCTTTCCGAGGCTGAAACATACCGATACCTGGGTATGTCACAGAACATCGGTATCGATGAGGCTGGTGTGAAACAGTCAGTTTGCGACGTGTTTTATGCACGCTTGACCAAAGTGCTTAATAGCCTTTTGTCCGGTGTGAATAAGACACACGCATATAACGGTTGGGTCATGCCTGTCCTTATGTATACCTTTGGCATACTCAGGTGGACTCAGACTGAACTTAACGCCCTGGATAGAAAAGTCCGCACTACCATGACGTCCCATAGGATGCATCATCCGAGATCATCGGTAATGAGGCTGTACTTGCCGCGAAAGCATGGTGGGCGTGGCTTTCTAAGCGCGCTCACTATGCATAATCGTGAAGTGTGCAGCCTCCGTCATTACTTCCTGGCGAGATCGGATGATCCATTCTATAATGACGTCATTTCTAGTGATAAAGGGCTTACCCCTCTATCCTTGGCCAACGAGCAATGGCAGGACCCAGCAGTGCTTAGCATTTCCGACCGGGAGACCGTATGGAAGGAGAAGGAGCTCCACGGGAGGTACTACAGGGTTCTACATGAGCCCTTCGTAGATACAGTCGCCTCCCTCAACTGGCTACGTTTCGGTGACCTCTTCGGGGGAAACCGAGGGTTTTGTCTGTGCAATACAGGATCAGGTTATTAAGACCAACAACTATCGGAGATACATCCTAAGAGATAGCACCGTCGACGTCTGTCGAGCTTGTCGCCATCCCGGGGAGTCACTTAGACACGTCATCTCCGGTTGTTCGGCGCTTTCTAACTCTGAGTACTTGCACAGGCACAACCTAGTAGCCAGAATTCTTCACCAGGCGCTCGCTCTGAAATACGGTCTCGTGGACCGGAAATTGCCGTATTACAAGTACTTGCCGGAAGCCGTGCTCGAAAATGACCGCGCCAGGCTCTACTGGGACCGGGCCATCATCACAGACAGGACTATTCTTGCAAATAAGCCTGATATTGTGCTGATGGACCGGGCACAGTCAAGGATATTTTTGGTCGACATTACCATTCCGTATGACGAGAACCTCGTGAAAGCCGAAACAGATAAGCAAACAAAATATCTGGACCTGGCTCACGAGGTGACCGACATGTGGGGTGGTCTGCCGACCGAAATTATTCCTGTAGTCGTCTCTGCAAACGGGCTAATCCCAGTCAGCCTCTCGGGTCATCTGAGGCGACTGGGACTCCGTGACGGACCGCTCCGGGCTCAAATGCAGAAGGCAGTGGTCCTCGATACCGCCCGCATCGTCCGTCGGTTTCTTTCCCTTTCCTCCTAACCCTCGGCCGTTTGGTCTCCCCCTGCCGAGGGCTTCCATCTGGTTGGATCTTTATTTATTTGTGTATTTTTTGTATTTATTTTATTTTATTGATATTTATGTATATTTGTCTTTTCATTTTAATTTATAATTATATATTTATAGAAACCAACCAGATGAGAAAACTATATAGATACCCCACATAAAATAATAATAATAAAGACATATTTGAAAATAGCGGAATTCCTGTTTTAAAACACAAAACCCGTAATTGTATGGATGAAATCCATTTGAATCGTCAAAACCTAAACATAATTATTAAATACATTAGTAGTGGTTGTTAATGCTGTTTTTGTTTATGCAACTTAATGCTAAACTTTGGTGCGTAATTGGATTCATTACTCTGGTAAAGAGCTGTATGGGTATTATGACGTAACTGATATACCTAATAACAAAATGTGTTTCGTACGGAAAGAATCGAAATTTTGAAACAATATTGTTTCCGGTTAGACCTTCCATTCTAGTTACCGTACCAACCTATAAATGTTTTTAAAAGATAAATATTCGCGTACAGGATTATGATAGTTGCTTATTTACCTTTGGTAAATATCATCTATTCATTTTACATATTTCAATAATTTTAGTTACCGTTATAGCCTGTCAAAATCCACTGCTGAACATAGGCCTCCCGCATATATTGTTTCATAGGGGGGATATTTGCTATAGTGGATACGCTTGGCAGGCGAGTTGGCAAACGTATTTTTCATTTTTAAGGAAGACCTGCTGCAATTTCATTTGCCACCACTCCACACAGAATATTGGATTTTTCTTTTTGTTTCCCCTTAAAAATTGTTATTCTGAAGTAAAGTTATGCAACAACGTTTGCTGTTCCTAGAAATACTAAATACATAAAATGGCGTCAACATTCGATTATTGACAAAGTTTTCAAGTACTCTATGTATATTAGAAAACGAATGCACAAACTTAAAAGCCCCAGTTTATGTTCACGCATCTATCGTAACGGTTATTTTGGTAAGACTGAAGTTTTACCTTCAGTCTTACCAAATAACCGTTATATCAAGTATCAGAAAGACGGAAATCACTATTCAATCAAACAAAAATAAGTGAGCTCTCTAAGACGCATGGTCGATTGGGTACTTCGAAAGTTTTATCTGAATCAGCATGGTTTTTCGAAAGGTAACCGAAGGCCTTTTTCATTTTCATGCCGGGGATGTTATTGTATGTGCTATCTGTGCATTACAGACTACAAAAATAACAAATGAAATATCTATTTTCGCTCCAGTATGTTTGTTATTGGTTATGAGAAAATGTTTTGCTTGACGAATTGTTCTTGAATCATATTCTCACATTATACAATGACGTATAATTATGTTTCTATACAAAGCCAATAAGTTTATTTTTAACGACACTGAAAAAATGAAAGTACCTACTGTTTTATTTCCCTTAAAATTGCATTAAAAATAAAGATAAACAGATTTCAAATGATGATAAACGGAATCTAGCTTCAATATCAAGAATCGGGTTTAGGTTTAAAAGATGTAATAAAAAAAGAAAAAGATTATATTAATTAAAAAATAGACTCAATGCATTCTGCTTTTGTAAATTTTACTTAAAAATGTTAGTTCGAAAATATTTTGATAATTCATATTAGCTCTCTCTTGTCTAGTCGAGAGTCTAGCTCGTTTTGTCGATTCACTCTAGATTCAGGGAACTAAAAATTAAATGGATAGATTTAAAAAAATTAAAGGATATAAATATAGGGGAAGCCTATGTTTAGCAGTGGACTTTTATCGGGTGTAATGGATGGATAATAGAAAAAAACTACTTACTCTAGTTGTCAGATCGTTGCAAAATCTATGTGTCCATTTTACAGTTTCTTTTAGCAAACTTTTAGATTTACGTTATCATAAATAGATAAAACAAAGATGTAAAATTTCATTCTGACAACTGTACTTCTTATAGTGGAAATATATTCAAATGCGAGTATCTCACATAAACATCGCTCGGAGACTTGTTATTTGTTACAAAATAAACGCAGCCGTAGTTAAATTATCTTTAATACTTGTCTTTCCTTAATATAAAGCCGCGCATAACAGCCACGAAAATAAGCATTTTTGTGACATAATCTTTTGTTTTATTTTGATTATTTCTTTCAATATCTTATGAATTCTAGGTGGAAGGACTCATTTTTGTCTAGAAGTTTGTCTTCCCCCATCCTCTTACGTATTTCTGCCTCCAAAAAGCACTCCTGTGTTTGCCGGTCTGAATGTATAGAGAGCCAGTACAATTTCAAACCGCAAGCATTCCATTTTAGTCCCTAGTGATTACAATGATCTCTAGCCTTCTTTGTTTGAAGTTGGCTGCAGAACAGGTGTACATGGACTACAGTCTATACTCTAGCTGCTACAGCAGCCACTTAGCATCAGACTAACTGTGAGTTCGTTTGCAACACAAGTTAAAAAAAATAGTTTTTAATTTTACACTCGAAGTTTAAAATCTCACAGACGTGTATTGTAAAACAGCGTTTATTTTTATTTTGCGAGCGTTACGGTTCTTTTACTAGTAATATTTTATTTGTTTTTTACAATTTTAATCTTCATTTATAACATATTTGTCACTATTGCGTGTTGCCTGCAATAATTTCGAGGGCGTGCGTGCACATAGCAAACCTACTCTAAATATTTAAAGAGTTATACTATGTTCTGGTATAAAAACTTTGAAATATAACATGTTACGCTTCGTTACGGTGTTTTGTTTCCCTTAGGGCTTCATATTTTAAAACTACTTACTCGGAAGTATAAATACAAATTGCGTTGAAAGAAATATGTATTTAAGCTGTTCATAATCATTTTTCTTAAGCTTTTAAGACAACATACACAATAAAGCATAACCTTATGGATTCACTGTGTGTTAGTTCTTAAATAGAAACCACCGTTACAGATTTTTATATTTGCTAT